GACGATCTTCTTCACTGGAGGTCTTCAAGCAGAGGCCAGATAGTCATCCATCAAAGATGCTGTGGCCTGAGCAGGGGGCTGAGTTAGATGACCCCCAAGGTCCCTTCCAACTCTATTATTCTGAGACTGAAAATACAAAGCTCCTCTCCAATCGAGCCCAAAAAACCACACAACATCACAACAAACATATCACCCCAGGCCCTTGCCCTCATAAGTGACCCCTGAATGGAGGAGGAGGAACAGGAGGAGGAAGAATATTGGGCCCAGACCATGACTTAGGTTCTTCCACAGAACAAAAGCCAGCCTCTCCAGGGACCAGTCTCTCGGCGTTGGCCCAGGATATTCCCTGATGTCTTACACCATCAGAGGACACACTCAAAACACCAGGGAGGGGAAGAAGCACCCATCAACTAAGAAAGCCGAGGAGGAACCGGTGGGCCCAGCCAAACCATGGCAATCACAACAGAAATGGCCACAGGGGCTGGGTCTCCTGGAAAGACATTGAACTGGCATGCCAACCCTTGCAGACTGGCAGAAAATGCCCCAGCTGCATCAGCAGATAAGCCTATAAGCACCACGGTGGGGGTTAGGCCTGTTGGTCCAGAAGCAGGGAAAGAATCACAATGACAACAGTGGCACAGAGTGACAACTCGCAATCCAAGCACAGGCGCCTGCTACACGCTGAGCGAAAACACTGACGCAGTGAACACAGAGTAAGAGGATCCAAGCAAAAATTAAGTCAACATTACAGCATAATACAAATGAACCATTAGGTTTACATAAGAGGTCTATTAGATCTGTAGACTCTGGAGTGTTTTTTCCCCCTGCCTAGAATACAAACGACTTTAAAAACAAATGAGCTTGCAGTCTCCCTCCGTAACCAGATCCTGGAACGTGCTAATGGGGCCAAGGAGCCTGGCGGACGTGGTCCGTGTTGATGGAGCAAGACGACCCTTCAGACCTGAGAATTCCCCGAAGCGGCTGCATCAAAGCCAGGGGATCGACGAGGCCTCGGTGCCTTCGCGAATTTCTGGCACCCAGCTGACACCGGCCTTGACATGCCAGCTCTGATGCTGCCGAGTCAGCGAACGATTGAGAAAAGGCACCTCCCAGCTCGGTCCTCAAAAGCGCTTTTCAGCCGGAGGAAGGGAAGAGCCCATCGACTTTCATCCTGTCCATCAGCCCAGGATGAATGATCAGACATTATTCATCTAACTTTTCATGAACCTATCTGGAAAACTTCGGCACAACGATACTTGCAGGAAAGTGAGGTAAGGACGTTCAATTCGATACGCGCACGATCATGCTCATTTGTTGGAAGGACGACTATGCCAACTGGTTTCGATAAATAAAATCATTAATTTATAAACGATCTGAATTGGTTAAATAAATAAATAAATAAATGCAAGCCATTTTTGATTATTGCCTTTTTCATGCCCAGCTGCAGGAACGCAACAGAAGCAAAAGAAAGGGGAGCGTGTTCTCAAGGCAGGAGTCCCCCTCAAAAGGAAATAGAAACGATTTCCTTAAAACACCAACAATCTCATGAGATCACAAACACCAAAAAGGGGTTGGCGTTTGTGCCTGACGCAGATAAGATTTTGCTACACTCGCGTGGGATTGAGCAAGATTCTACCAAAATCTCGTGCGATGCGCTGATTTGCATTCGCTCATTTTAATTTATTTATATTAATGACATCCAGGCCCTTGCATAATCCTGTGTGGCAGAAGCCAATACGTGAACAGGTTGCTGATTTCCATCTTAATAAGCTTTATTGAAAATAACTGCCCTACCACAATTTAATCAGCGTGCTTTTTTTGAGTTGATTAAGCTGCCAATCTGATCTCTGAGCCTTACTGTATTAGTACTGGGGAGAGATCAGTAAATTAGCAGCAGAGGACACGTGTTGTCCTGGACACCGTGAGCCAAGGAGCTCCGTAGATGTTCTAAGCGGAGATGGGTGAAAAGTTGTTTGGGTCCTTCTTTTCTCCCCATAAGAACATACAAACTGGCAGTTCCCTTAGTAAACAGAATTTAGGAAAATTGAGATTGAGAAAAATCTCAAAATCTTGAGATTTGGAAAAGTAAACATAGGAGAAAAGAAACTGTTTGGTTCCTACCCAGGGAAGGGGCATTGAATCCCTCTAGAGTCCTTCATGAAGTGGGAGTGAGTCATGCAGGTTGTCAGTGTTCTTTCCTGAGATGCTCCCCACCTCTAAAACCATCCCATCAGGAAGGTTCAACACTGCCTTCTGCATCCCAGGGGCCTGTTGATTTGGCTGGCGTGGTAGGTGACATCTTAACCTGGTTCATTTTTTTCTTCCTTAACCAATTAACAAAATCCACGATGCCTTCCTGAGCAGCAGACAGAGATTAAACCCTTGAATGTGAGAGGAAGGAGAACAGTTTGCTTGTCCAGAGTTCAACTTCAACCAAGGATGTCAAGGCAAGCGATTTGACCTCTGGGCTTTGGAGGTTCTCAGGTGGTTCCCACTGCAACCTTCCCAAGGAGTTGTGGTCTACTCACCTGCGCAGGTGAACCTGGAGGGCAGAAGGTCCCGCCTGCCCCTTGGTCCCACCCTCTCCCTTGAGACACCACCAGCACTTACCACTTTGGGGAGCACGGAAGCAATGGCATCTTTGATGACTTCCCGGAGGCTGGAGATCTCAATCACGGCACCAAAGCTCAGCAAGGCCTCCTGGGGAGAGAAGGACCCACCGTCAGCAAACTGGACCAGCTGGGTAGCCTCCGCGAGTTTAACCAGGCACCATCCTACAGCGCCCTGATGTCCAACCAATTTGCACAAGGTGATGCCGTAACAAACAGATGCACTTTTATTTTGCCAGAAAAAAGGCTTTGTTAGAGAAGAACCCAAGATCAGGATGCTGAGATCCAGCCTCTCCTGCAGGCCCACTCAGTCCCTCGGTCCTTTTTTCTGGAATGGCCACTTTTGTTCATTTCACCCGACTTCCGTGGGGCGCCACAGGCCACTGTGCTGACTGGCCACCTCCCCTCCTTTTCCCTTCCTTTGTTTCCTTCACCCCAGTCCTTGCCACGCAGATGTGAGATGGCCCTTCCTCCCCACCCTCCAGTAACGAAATGGGCTTGAAGTTCCAGTCTCCTTGCAACGGTCCAGCCCCCCCGTCCCCCCCCCCCGACCAATGCTCTGCCTTTTTCTTTTTGCCCTCACATCGAAGTTTTCTTTTACTGCAGAATTCTCCAACTGTCAGAGAGGATAAAGGAGTTATAGTACAATATGGGTAGATGATTGTGGCTTCGAGAAGCTGATTTTAGTGGTTTCTATTGGTTCCTAATGAGGAGATTAATAAATTATTCCCCCTCCTCAGGACCTCTCCGTGGATTGCCTGGAGTCCCTGCCACGTGTCCTTAATGGAAGGTTTCTTCCCACTGTGTTTTTAAGACCAGCAATTTAGCATTGCTCAGTGTTGAAAAAGGGGAGAGGGAGGGAGAGAAGGGGGGAAGGAAGGAAGGAAGGAAAATATAAGAGAGGGAGGGGAGGGAGAAAGGGAAGGGAAGGAAGGATGGAGGAAGGAAGAGAGGGAGGGAGAGAGGGAGTGAGGAGGGGGGAAGAAGGAGCAGAGAGGGAGGGAGGGAGGGAGTGAGGAGGGGGGGAGAAGGAG